GTTGTCAACATAATAGTCATTGGAATTGACAAGGTGAGATTGAATTGCTCCAAAAAATGAATGATTATTGTCTTTCCAATAAAAATAATCAGAAAGGAAGGCTAATGGAGTTTTATTGTAATTTTTTCTCTCCCATCTTAAGGCAAATGTCCATAACCTGAAAATTGTATCTATATATTGATCACAAGAGCCTGAGCAAAGGATTACACTGTAGATATCTAGAGCAGCAGGTATTAAATTATCCAAGAGATCTATTAATGTTTTAAATTCCATATCTTTACAAAGTGGGCCAAATTTTTGAAATATTTCTTTTTCAATTTCTTTCCAACCTGAGCTGGCAAGTCCTAAGAGCACATTTATTCTGGTAGGTTTTGGTTTCTTTGCCAATTTTTTGTTATTACCAAAAATTGATTTAAACATTTTTTCAAAGAAATTCCAGTGAGTCAAAATAATATGCTCTCTCATATTCAATGATATATGCAATGGACCAAGAATTGGGATAAAATTGTTAACAATTTCAGGTATCTGTATTGGTAAAATATTTTGTCCATTTTTTTTGTTTGCAAAGCAATGTTATTGCTTGTCTTATAAATAATTGACCTGGAAAATCAGCAACAATTGGCATAACATTATATAGGAGGTAATTATACAATGAAGGTATGTCTGTAATCATCTTAAGAGCCTTTAAATAATCATCTAAACTTTTAAGGTTTTGTTCCTTTATATTAACTAAGTGACATTCCATCATAGATCTATCATATTGACATTCTTTTATAGCATCATCATATGAATGAATTAACAAGAGTTCTAGTCTATCAAAATGTTTAAAGGTATTCACATTATTTTCCAACCAGCTTAATTTTACAAGATTGTAACTATTACTTAATGAATTGATATATTTATCCTTCAAATATTTAATAATTCTCTTTGCTTCAATATTTTCAGGATTATGTATTGGAACACCATTATCATCTGCTGATATAGCTGTGCTATCTTTATAGTTTTAGAGCACAAGTAGCCATATGACGAGCTGTTGAAAGTGTTGTTGTGTTTGGTTGTCTAAAACTATGAATTGCATGATAATCATCAAGATTGGCACAAAATAATTTGTCTTTATTTTCTTCAAAATACTGATTTATTTTTTTTGGATGGTCATTTGCAATTGATTTTTTATATCTATCCACTGTTTTATAAGATACAGAAATGCCAACTCTTGCCATTACATCAATACACTCTGCAGTTGCACCACATGAAAATAGGTAAAGACCAATTTCTAATTGAAGAGAATTATTGAATTTATTTCTTAGACCAGTCAACAAATAACAGAACCCAACAAGTGACCTTTTTGCATTTTCTATATTATATGCAGATCTATTAATTGGTAAAAAAATATAGATTAATTCATCAAAAAAACCTTTTAATTTTGGTTCATGTTGTTCAATCATATCCTTAAAGTTTTGAGGGTTTAACTCAATATCTAAATTTAATTGTCTTTGTCTTTTATATAAGATTTGTGACAACAATTCAATTCTTTCACCAAATTCATTGAAGTGTTTTTTTGTATTTTTTTCATATTCATTTAATTTTTTTTTGCATTCCTTTTATGTTATTAATAAGATATCAAAACTTTCTTTTGATAAAGACTTTTTTCCATCCTCATGGTAATTGATATTTATATCTGACCAATAATCAAAATTTACATCAATATCATCAGTTGAATTTTCCAAAATATGAGATAATTCAACTTTCATGTAATCATTTTCAACAATATGAATTTCTCCAAATTCTCCTGATCTTTACTTTTTAACAGCATTTTTTCCACCTCTATTTGGCACCACAATTGATAAATAATGTAAATGACAAAGTTGATCACCAACTTGAAGGTAATTATACAGTGTGATTCAAAAAAAATGGTGATTGCTTATTTTGAACCTGTTAAAAAAATTACCATTTACTTATATGATAAATATGATTGGATATGATTGTTTACATGATAATCAATATTCATGTATGTTATTACATTGTCTTTTCTTTACCTTTTAACTTTTAAGCTTTGTAAAAAATGGTTAATGCAAAATTAGAAGCACAATGTAAAACTATTTTTCATTTTTGAATGAATGGTATCCATTCACCAAAAGAAATATATGAAAAAACAAACATCCCTCTTCGTACCATTGAGAACAACTTAAAAAAACTAAAAGAAACTGGTTCTATTTAACATAAAGGTGAGAATGGTCATCCATAGAAGGTTACACAAAATCTGTCATGTTCCATCAGGCAAGTTGCTTGCCATAATACTGCTATTTCAACACACCAACTTGCAATTAAACTCCAAGTAACACATAATGTGTCTATTTCACAACCTACTACATGAAAACAAAGGTTACAGAAGTTCTGTGCCCATTGGAACTCCAATGCTAACCACTCGTCACTTTGAAGCCCAGATAGCATGGGCACAAACTCATTTGAATGACAATTGGAGCCATACAATCTTTACAGATGAGACAGCATTTGATCTTTTTCATAACAAAATTCGTAGATGGCACAAATATGGACAAAGACCAGTTCACACACAGATTGCTGAAATCATGGCAAAAAGTAATGGCATGGGGAGGGATTTCATTAAAAGGTAAAACACCATTATTTTGTTTTACTGATATTATGGATGGGCTTTATTATGTCAACATATTGCAGACTCAGCTTTTGCCTACTGCACAAAGGTTGCATGGTAGAAGGTGGTGTTTGCAACAGGACAATGATTCAAAGCACACATCACATGTTGCAAAAGATTTCATTGCTGAAAATAGGATTAATATGATTAACTGGCCATCCAACAGTCCTGACCTCAATCCAATAGAGAATATGTGGTACATTATGAAGAATAATGTTGAAAAAAGGATGCCTAGAAATGTTGATGAATTGAAGTGATTTATGGTAGAAGAATGTGAGAAAATTCCCCAGGAGATGGTTAAAAATATTATTATGTCTATGAAAAGAAGATGTGAATTAGTTTTAGAAAAAAATGGTGATAGAATTTCTTATTAATTTCTTATTATTTAATAAAATAGAACATCAGCTTTCAAATGAATATATTTTTATTTAATTATGTTATGTAGTCATTGAGTTATGTAATATTTTTGTGACCACCATTTTTTTTTGAATCACACTGTAAATAATATGAATACAAATAATAATAATAATAATAATAAAATCCAGTTGGTAAAAATTTAAAAAAAATCAATTTATTCATTTAAAACATTGACATTATAATAATCTTCCATATTAGTGATCATTGGCTCAGGTTCATTTGTTTCATCATTGTCATCACCAACTTCACTTTGTCCTTTTACAATATTTACAATTTCTTGTGTTGTCATTTCTTCTTGAACAAGAAGATTTTGGTCAATCATAACATATTCATTGGCATCTAGATAATCTTGAGTGATCAAACCGTTTATTTCATTTACTTATAAAATTCCATTTATTTTACATTATTACAGTCAGGGATCTTTCCAAATTTGGAATTCAATCTAGAAAAATTGGAACCCTTTGTTGATCCATTCATATATGTTTCATAAGTTACTATTACACTAATTTTTTATATTGTGCAATGTAGCTTTACAATACATGGCAAAAATTCTGGCAATAAAAAGTAAGTGATAAACTGGACTTGAATTGGATCTGAGTTGATTGCCAAAATTATTCAAGCCTTTCTTTAATGGGATTTGATAATTCTAATATAATTGAAGAATTATTGTTTGATGTAAATTTTCAACCTTTTAAAATTAAAATAAATGAAAATTAGGGATCTTTGTATCACAAATTGGTAAAGTATTGAGACACTAGATATATCCCAATTGGTAACTCCCCATTCCTCAAGAGGCTTGCTCCAATATTCTTATAAGAAGCTAGTATCGGCAATGAGATTAAATTAGCTTATGGAAACAACAGAAGAAAAGCCTTACCTGGATAGCAAAGAGATGAAGTCATTTCTTCTGGTAGACTCAATTTGTGTGCCATTAAAAATTTGAAGTATGAGTAAATCTATTTTTTAATCAAATTTGCTTTATTATAATAATCAGATTGTAAACACATGCAAATTTCTATAACTAGTGATGGGCATAAAAATTATCATTAAGATTATCAAGTTATTAAGTAGTAAATAACTCTATTAGTGACTTATTAAGTGTTAAAAAAACACAAACCTGAAGAACTTTTATGGGCAATAATTTTTTTTTGCAAAATAACAATAGGGATTTCAAATTAGGAAAGACTTGGTCTGTATATAGGTTTTCCTTGGGTTAATAACCCTTGCTCAGAATAAATAGTTAATAAGTGGTTAATAGCTAATTAATAACTTGGAATTATTAAGTGTATGGTTAAAAAATTCCCATCACTACCTATAACATTCTATTTTACAGTTTTATTTTACAGTTTTATGAGTCATAAGTTCTGGGTTTTGTGATACATGATCGAATATCTAAGGTACACAAGAATGTTATGTATTACTGTGACATGCGCTATATTCCTATTTTCAGAATCTGAAATCCGTCTGGATATTAAAATCTTTATCAGATGATAACAACCACCACAACCACATGTTATGTTGGCGAGTAGATTATTTGATAATTATTTTACTAATAATAATAATTATTAGTTTTACGCAATATAATAATTTCTCATACTCTCGAAAAATATTGGATATCAAACTTGAAGAGAATGAAAGAACATAAACATCAATGACACATACAGTATAAAGATATCATGGGGGCTCAAATAATTAATCATCAATTAAAAAATAAATTATAACTTTTTTATTTATTAATAATTGTCTATTATTGTAATTTTTCTATTTTATAAAATACATAACTCTTCCTGAAATACCTATTCATTAATTAATAATAATAAACATTCAAAGAAAAATCAAAAATTAAATACTTAATAAATACATCAGATCATAAACTTCATTAAAAATCTCCAGGCCAAAAAAAATTTATCTATCAAAATAAATTAACCAAATCATTTGATATATTATTACCAGTAGGATTGTTTTGATTTGATGATGATGACAATTGAGATGTTGCTGTTTTACTTATAGAGAAACTATCGTCATCAAATAACCCTAATAAATCATCAACATTAGCAGTAGTAGCTGTGTTAGAAGCTGATGATGATGGTGGTGGTGTTGATGTTAAAGTTGAAGGAAATGTTGTTGGTGGTGTTGTACTGGTAGGACTATCATTGAAATCAAGATCCAATAAGTTTTCAATGTTAGCTTTAACTTGCGCTTGAATGGGTGATTCTCTTGAAGCTTCTTGTTGTTCCCTTTTTTTAAAAAATAATGCAAAAAAATTAAAATTAACTTTCAATTTTTGGGAAAGAAAAAACCAAATTTATGTGTGTTTTAATATTAACTCGATAGCTCTTCTTTGAACAGCATCAGCACCAAATCTACCCTTTCCAAGAAATGTTTCTGGAGGTTTATGATATACACTCGCCAATGAAGAGATATTACCAATTAATTCATCCAGAAGAGCTCCTGACATTGAATTACTTTCTACAGATATTACTGGTTTATCTGATAAAACTACAGTCTATAATTATTTATTTGTTTATAATTTAAGTAAATTATTATAAATAATTATAATAATTATAAATAATAAAAAATTATTTTATTTTATATACCTTCGCAGCTTGTGGATCAGTTGAAAGTAACCTCCAATAAACAAACGCACGATCTCTAATATCAGGATTTTCACATTCTGTAGTTGCAATTTGCAGTAATTTATGTACTATATTTTGAGTAGTTTGTGGTTTTTTTAGAAATAATTTAACTGTTGAAGTAACTAGTTGTAATTGCACCTATATTCAACAAAAACGAAAACGAGATTAATAATTAATAATTTAGTTAAATATATACAATATATATATGCATACAAATATACATATATTACCTGGGGACTTTCATCACGAAAAGTATCCAAAAATGTAAGGATTAAATCACCAGCATTTTCTATTCTTTCAGCATATTCTCCGACAATCCAAATAAGTGAAGCTTTTGCTTCAGGTTCATCTAATGCATCTAGATTTTGACATAACGTTGGGATAATTCCTTCATATTTATGTGGATATTTTCGAAATATGTCCTTTTTTTTTCATTCATTATGAAATTTTGTTTAAAAATTTAGAAAATAAGTTGTAATAATAAATAATAAACCAATAAAAATAATTTAATCCTTCCTATATTATTTACTTTAATAACTACTATAGCTTCTTGAACTACATAATTTACTCTTGTGTTTATTAAATCCAATAAAACATTAATGCATCTTTCAGATGCCTCATCAATTTTTATTGCACACTGTCCAATGGCTCTAACAGATTTTCTTACAAAATCAACATCAACTTCAGAAGCATATCTATAATAATCACAAGTGAATATCAATATATAAATTTTGATGAAATTTTTCCTATTAGAAAAAAAGTAATCCTTACTCCTTTAATTCTGATAACAATTGATCAACATTTTTTTCACTGGCCAGTTTTATTATAATTTCCAATTTTTCCAATTTTACGTAAGGTGGATCATTATATTTACAGAAGAAAACCCTAATTTCATTTTGCAAGATATCGGGTTGCTTTTGTAAAATAAGATTTATATTTCTTAATGCAACGTATTGTACTTCTGGTGGCGAAGCTAACAATGTGACTATAAATGATTTTTCTTATATTAATCGTAATTATAATAACGGTAGTAATGTGCTTCATCTTAAGTTTATTGTTATTACCTAAAGGTGGTGCCATTTTTCTTATTAATTGTCGAACTAAATCATCATTTGTTATATTTCTCATATAAATCATTATTACCTGTTATTATAATTGTTATCATTATCATTATTATTATTTAAGTAAAAGTAAAAAAAAACTTTATTTATATAAAATATATTTCTGATTTTACCTTAATTGCTGATAATACTACACTTCCATTAGCATGTTGAAATTGCGGAATAACACGTTCAACTATATGTTCGGCTTCTTTACTATCGGTTGGTTTAAAGTCTGCTAATGCTGTTAATATGGCAATTCTACCCCATCTATATACATATAATATTATGGAAATCAATAATATATATATGTGTCTATGTCTATGTAAATGCACATAATACATACTCTGTGCACTCATTTAAGGCTACTAATAATTTTGAAAGCGTTGATGTATTAATGACAAATATGTTTTTTGTAGTTGATGCTTCGTTTATTTCACCAAGAGCGGTTATAGCATTAGCTACAACCTTATTATTATTATCAAAAAAAATTTTAATAAACAATGAATAAATAATAAACAAGTATATATATATATATATATATAATTTATCATGTCTTACCATTGGATTTGAATCTGATACCATATCTTGTAACATGGCAACAAACCCATTTTCTATAGCTAATTCAGAGTTTAAATCATATAATTTAGCAACACAAATTGCAGCAGTTTTTCGAACATAAGGATCATCATCCTACGAAGAAAATATTTTCTATATAAACTAAAATGAAAAAATAAAAAAAATTTATCGTCATTATTATGAAATTGAAAAAATTTACCTTTAAACATTTTCTCAATGGTTCACAAAGATAATCAATAATCTTTTCTACTCGAATACATCCTATTGTTCTAATAGCCAATGCACGAATTAATGGATTACTATCATCTGTATCCTTTAGAAATATATTACATATACATACACAAAATATATTTATAGATTAAAAAAAACAATTGACAAACTATGAATAGGATAAGTGAGTGGAATGGATGAAAATGAAACTCTAATTTAACAATATATATATATATATATATATACATATACATATATAAAAATACCTTTACAAAAGTATTGACAGCCAAAATGACCAACTCAGGTTGAGTCTTTGCATAATTCATCAAATATAAATATACCAGTTTTTTTTGTTCTAAGTCTTCTGTTTGCATGTTTTTTAAAACATCAGGAAATAATCCTGAAACATCTTTTCCAACTGTCATATTAGCAATCACTTTTTTAATTGCATCTTTACGACGATCTCGATATTCACTATTTAGATCAGCACGAAGCTCATAGTTTTCACCTTTAGAAAAAGTCCGAATTATTAGAAGTAAGAAGGAAAAAGTTTGTTTGTGGAATCTCTATTAATATTACTAATATTACATTAAAAAAAAATTACCTTTTTTTGTGGTAGTAAAGAACTTTGGTTTACTAATTCGAAAGTCAGTCATATTATATATAGACTCTTTATGTTTTTAATAAACAATCTATTGCTATAATTCAATGAAACCGCGTATAATATTAATGAGATTTTTTAGTTTGGGCGTACAGTGCACAATTCACTATAATAAAATTCTGCGCCAAGTTTTCACGTTTTTCAAAAATGGCAAATCGTTTGATCTGGAATCCTTAATATTAGTATTAGCTTGCAATAACGTTAATCGTTTCCTATGTACATCTTTCAAATCTGCTTTGAGACATTCTCTTGAATATTGAAGATCTTTCTAGGCTACGGAAAAAAAGTAATTAGTTAATATTAATATTAATATTATTAAAAGAACCTTTCCAAAATAGGAAATAAACCTCAATTCGCAGCGACGTTGTGGCTAATTTCTCGATCACGAGTTAATTGTGTAATTGATTGTGGTTTTGCTCTCCAATTCATAACGTATAATTGCAGTGTTGCCTAACATATCGTTTAGCAGCCCCAAAATACAATAAAATTTTGGGTAGAAGATGACTTTATGATATCTTGCTTCAATTAATTCTCGAAGTAAAGGTTTTTGGTGTTTAAAGTCACTTTGGGATACAAAGATATGTCTTACACAACAAGTCAAAGATTCTTCAAAAGAAACTTATAGGAAGGGAATAATAGTTATTTTTACATTCTGATGATTACAATCAAATATAATTATATTATCTATAATATACTATCCATTTTTTTACAGGCCAATCTTCCGCAATACTCTTGACTACTACGTAATTTATCATTTGGGTAAGTATCGCTATCTTCATCATCGCCATTTCCTTTTATCATTATAAACAAATGATCAAATGCAAATACCGCAATCATACCAAGATTCAAAAATTGGTATGGCTTTGTTAACAGTCTAAAAATAATAAACCAAGTTAATTATCTTGATATTTAATATTGATATTTTTTTCCTTACTTGATCTATTAACTGTTCAAGACTCCATCAGCCATTGGCATTCTTTCCGAGACATATAATAACAGGACCACTGGACACACCACACTCCCATTAGATGAACCGCATTCGAGGAAAACCGTTTGATACAGTCAAGTTTTCGCTCATAAAATTTAAGTGTATATACATTCTCTTCAAAATTTAAAAAATGATACTCTGATCATCAAATGCAATTAAATGTAACTGCCAACGTTTAAAAAAAAAATTTATTAACAAAAAATAATTTAATCTTTTCTTTTAGTCAGCATGTTTTTTTCCAAAAACAATTTTAGCTAACATAAATATATTTACAGCCAAAATTTACGCGGGTTTGCTTAAAATTTCATTTTGACTGCCACAGTTCTTGTTAGTATATTCAGGGGCCCTATGATGACTTGAGCATCATGAGGAAAATTCTCACCAACCTCCAATTTATGTTTCAATTAAAAAGTCGCTTATATGTATTGTTCTTCCTTTCTCAATAGTTGTTTGCTCTTTGATCTTCCTCCACCCTGATTTTTATCATTTCATCTCGAGTTACTAATACATGGATTTTTCCATTTTCATCTAATTCAGAGTTTCAAATCAACACCAGTAAATATAGGCACTAACTTCTAGTAATTGCAGTCGACGCTCGATATAATAAATGCATTTGCTTTTAGAAAAATTCTTTGTATAATACTATTCATTATTGCCACATGTGTATATTATTATATATAACACAAATGTGAAACCTTCTGGTTTTATGATATAGTACGTACGATTCACTATATAATGGGTTCGCCGTATCGAGCGCCAACTGTGTGAAGTCATTTAGTTTATTGGATACTTAAAATAAATAAATAATTACTCTTCCGTAACTTTTCTATATTTAATAACATCTTCGCGCCCACCGCCATCAACATAAATTCCTTTGAACAAATTTAGAGCAGATAGATCCCATCTTTTTAAGCCATCTGTTTGCTGTCATGGACTAATTTAAGCATTTAAATCATTAATTTCTATTAATTATAAATATAAAAATATTTATAAAAACTATTATTAATTTCAACATTTTCATCTGAAATGACAAGTTGGATTTATATAGTTTTACCATAATCACTAAAGGAATTGAAAGTATTAACATATACATTATAATCAATAAACAAGCACAGAATTAAAGAATATATTTGTGTGGTTTTGAGAGAACGACTCCTGGTCAGATTACATCTGGTTGTTTTAAATATATGAAAATTATTGTGCAACGAAATAATACTTCTTAGTATAAGCGCTTTGACTACTACCATCAGTGATAAAATTTACATTCACTTATCTTTACTTGCCAATGTTGAAATTATTAATTGATTAGAAAACGTACATCTCCTAAAATACTTGTGGAAAATATCGATATTAATTCAACAACAAATAAATTTTATGACAGCATTTAAATCATTAATTTCTATTAATTATAAATATAAAAATATTTATAAAAACTATTATTAATTTCAACATTTTCATCTGAAATGACAAGTTGGATTTATATAGTTTTACCATAATCACTAAAGGAATTGAAAGTATTAACATATACATTATAATCAATAAACAAGCACAGAATTAAAGAATATATTTGTGTGGTTTTGAGAGAACGACTCCTGGTCAGATTACATCTGGTTGTTTTAAATATATGAAAATTATTGTGCAACGAAATAATACTTCTTAGTATAAGCGCTTTGACTACTACCATCAGTGATAAAATTTACATTCACTTATCTTTACTTGCCAATGTTGAAATTATTAATTGATTAGAAAACGTACATCTCCTAAAATACTTGTGGAAAATATCGATATTAATTCAACAACAAATAAATTTTATGACATGTTACACGTAGTATTATATTTTAATTTGGTGAAAATTGATAATTTCGGATTATCATGCATTAATTAAACACACATTCTGTGCATTCACGTGTAAATGTGTATTAAAGTTTATTTTTTCACTAAACCCTATTCAAAAAGGATCTTGTTTATTTTTTATGATTATCTGAAGAAATTTTTTTTTAAGATTATATATTATATAAATAAACAATAATCAAAAAATTTATTTTTTCAAAAAGGATTTTGCTTAAATTAATTTATTATTATATATTAATACATTTTCGTATATTTTTTCATCAAAAAAAAAAAAAAAAATTTTTTTTAAATTCCACTTTTTTTAATTAAAAATGACTTCTGTTGCAATCACTAAGCCAACCGAAAAACGTGAGTTATATATATGAAATGATTGTAATGAATAATTATAATTAGAAATTATGCGTGTATTAATCTTTAATTAATACTTTCTTTAATTTAATTTTTTAGCACTTCCGTTCTTATATCAGTTCACAGCGGGAGCTGTAGCAGGAGTTAGTGAAATACTTGTAATGTTAGTATTGATAATCTATTTTTTGATATTATACATCCAATTTAATTGAGTGATGAATTGTTTATTAATCCTCTCTTTTTCTATCTTATACGCGAATAATAAAGGTATCCATTAGATGGTAAGGAAAGAATTTAGAATTCCCAAAATCTTTTTTCTTAAAAAATTTTATTTATTTTTTTCGTATATTTAATTAGTTGTGAAGACAAGGTTTCAATTACAAGTTGGTACAGGTGGAGAAGCATATTCTTCTATTTTAGATTGTTTTCAAAAAATCATCAAGAAAGAAGGGTATGATTAAATTGTGATATGATTTTGAAAATATGAAATCAAATTTTATTTCTCAACATCGTCATATCATCAATTTCTAGATTTAGCCGTCTTTATCGAGGAATACTTCCACCAATTCTCGTGGAAGCACCTAAAAGAGCAATTAAATTTTCAGCGAACGAACAATATTCTACTTTATTAAAAAAAATTTATGGAGTAGATAAAATGAATCAACCATTATCTATTCAAGCAGGTATTGCAGCAGGATGTACAGAAGCTGTTGTGATTGTTCCATTCGAACTTGTCAAGATTCGTCTTCAAGACAAAGCAAATGTGAGAAATTAAGAAATTAGGATTATATAATTATATAGAATTGTAATAATGATAATCATTGTTCATTTATTTTGCAGACTTCTAAATATAATGGAACATTAGATGCATTAAGTAAAATTGTTAAAAATGAAGGTAAATAATCATTATATTATTGTTACATTATTATTGTTATTATTATTATAAATATTTATACTTGTATATTTAATTGTTTGTTTAGGTATCTTTGCATTATATAACGGACTTGAGGCGACGATATGGCGACACGCGACATGGAATGGAGGATATTTTGGCGTGATTTTTAGTGTTAGAAAATTTTTACCTAAAGCAAAAGTATGTAATAATTTCATTTTTTTAATTCATATAAAATACATGAAATATTTCAATTAATTAATTGTTATCATCATTATGGAAAAATAAAAAGAATAAACAAGCCGAATTACGAAATAATTTTATTGCTGGAGCTATTGGTGGGACATTTGGAACTATGATAAATACTCCATTTGATGTGGTTAAAACACGGATTCAAAATGATACAAATACGATAAAAAAATATAATTGGGCTTTACCTTCACTAAAAATTGTTGCTCAAGAAGAAGGGTAAATAAATTAAAATTAAAATTGTTAATGTCAATATGTGTGATTATTATGATTGATCAATCGATAATGATCTTCTCTCACACTCTATTAATAGATTCAAAGCACTTTATAAAGGATTTGTTCCCAAAGTTCTTCGACTTGGTCCTGGAGGTGGAATTCTTTTAGTAGTATTTGATCAAGTCACAACATTAATGAAAAAACATTTAGATAAATAGCTAGAGTAAAATAATTAATGTTGTTAATTATTTATTTATTTACTAGATAGATTTTAGAATTAAATTTATAATAAAATAATAATAAAACTATTAATTAATACACTGCAACAAAAGTCGCAGGGATGGTGATAATGAATTTGGGAAAGGAAATTGTTGACGACCACGAAAAATATAATTTTATTTTAATGCAAACTTTAAGGAAAGTTTTTCGCGTTTTTCAATTCATTTTTAAAATTCATTTTAACATTCAATTTCGAGAATAAGAGAAAAAAAATTTATCAATAGTAATAGGAAAAAGAATTCTTGTAAGATAATTCAAATAAACAAATAAATATAAAATATAACTACTATTTAACAATATAAAATAAAAATTCATATATAATAGTAATACCAAGACCATGCAATATGAAAATAAGCCACATAATGTCCTCTTGACAAGTAAACACGAAAATAATTTTGGTCTAAGCGTAGGGCAAAAGTGCCATCAGGTGATAACGGAAAGTTTTAGTGGCCAAGCCTCTGTATTTCCCTTCCTGATTGTATACGATTGCAAAGTCATGAATTCCTTAAAATATTTTTCCGAAAAATAAAATGAATAACATTAAATCCCACATATTGAACTTAGGTGTCGGATTTAATAAACTATCCTTCCTACAACTATCTGGTGCCTTGCCTATAACCAAATAGTTTAGGTTCCCATCTTTAGATCAGAATAATAAATAGTGTAATAGGTAAAATTACGACCAATTTAAAGAATTTGTATCCAAAAATGGAATTCCTTGGACACAGTGTTCGCCTAATAGAAGTGTGGTGTCATAGCAATTGCTGACTTTTCTAAATTGTTACAAGTAACGGACCACCTGTGGTTAATAGGTCTTTTGAAAATTCCTGAATGCGATTTAAAAATTCACAGCCCCAGCCATCACGAAATCATATATTTTCTTGAGAAAGGAATATTAGAATGATAAATAGGTCCGGGTTTTATTGATAAGTTTCTTCATCTAAAGTTGGAAATTAGAGTCTTTAATCTTGTCATCCAGCATCAGATTCAACAACTAAACTAGTTTGTGAGCTTGGTACTATTGTAACTTACCTAAATTATTAATTATACAAACATTTTTTTCTTTTAAAAAAATTCATCTAAAATAATATCAATAAATTAATTGATTTATTACAGGCCAGAAATGATTCGAAAAAGTACTTTAAAAAAGAGTGTATGAATTCGAATATCAATTTATTATACGTGAATTTGAATTAGCCAATTAAAAAAGATAATTTACATCGTTAGATATTTTTCAATTTAATATTTAGATGATTTCAAAGTTTTAATGTCTGGACAATTGTTGGATATACCATATCACCGTTCAATTATATTAAATAATAAAATTCTATTTTTTGGAGGCAATAGATTTATCCACATTATTTTCACTCAGTGAGTATGAAAATCAAACATGTCTCCAGTTTGAATCAACATCACTTGCAATTAATAGGTACCAATAATGACACATTATATCTTATAAGTGGGTCTCTATTCTATAAATACAAGTTTATTTGATACACGGACTCTATACAATTTCGATGAATAATCACAATTTACACAAGTTAATAATGGGGATACTTATTATATAACAGGTGAAGGCATGCTCTAATATATAAATTCAAAACACCATTTCATCATTTGTAGCATTAATGATCCACTTGCCTCATTTATATATTTACTTGTCACCTATTGAGTATAATGAAAGTATTATTATATAAGGTTTGACTTAACAATGGGCAATATAATAATAATAATATTATTATTTATTTTAAATTTCAAGATTATGATTTATAATATTTATAATATTAAGAAAATAAATGGTCTGCAGTTGTAAGTTTTATTATTATTATTTATAATTAAATTTTAATAATAAATAATATTGATAGATTTTTCGTTATATTAGAAAACAGTTGGTGATGACCATCTCGACGAGATATTATTAGGTGAAAATTAATTACTATTAATGCTATGATTACAAATTTAATTGTTTAATCGTAATGTTTATTAATTTGTTGTTTAGTGCTTGATGGAAGAATAATTATGTATGATGGTATTAGTGCGGAAGCATACAAATTAGCAATATTAGACACAACACAAACTCCTTTTCAATGAACAGTTCCAACAAATATTGTTTGCCCATTTACTGGAATACATGATGTGGCCATATTTCAAATTTTTATGGAAGTCTATGTGAATTGCTATAAAAATTTTATAATACTCACATTTTTTTATTAATTAATTTTATTAATAATAGGTCGGGTCAAAATAATTCAAATATTTTAATATTGGATATCAGTGACGAAATAATTATAAATGGTTGAAACAAATACTGGCACCAATACTATACTTCTAGACTATTATAATTGTTGGGCCAGTTATTGCTTTAGTCCTTGCCATTGCTTTATTTGCTATATTAATATTGAAGTTGTCTTTGACAATTATAGTAGTAATGATGATGATGATGATGATGATGATGATATTGATGACAATAATAATATTGATGAAAATAATAGTATTAATAATAATATCAATATTGAAATTAATTCATTTAAAATGACAAATGTATTAACATTGATATTAACACTGAAGCTGTCCTTGATATTATAATAACAGTATTAATAGTAGCTTTAACGATAATAATATTATTACTAGTGATGATAGTGATAATCAGACATCTAAACTAATAAAATTTTATTTATGGGAAGGCAATTAAATAGAAATATAGTATCTTATTAATAAACCATGATTTACATAACAATTTTTTCTTTATTTCAACATTTGATGCCAAAAAATTGGGGTTTGTGAATAATTAATATTTATTATTATACTTTCTTCGATTAATTAATTACTCTTGGTATTAGAACTATATAATATCACAATCACACGAGATTGGAAGCTTCATCACTTTGTATTACTGAAATTGTATCTTGTAAATAAAAAATAGCCAATAAAAGTACATCATCTCTCTCCACACACGAACACAATCTTTTTCCGATCTTTCCATCTACAGTTATTTGATCATTCTACTCAATATTATATTTATTATTATTATTTTATTTGAAAAAAAATTGTAAACCCAATTTCTTCTTCCTCCTTCTCTTCTTATATTAAAGGTTAATACTACTTAGCGTTAATTTTATAATTTTTTAATAACAAAGAATAAAAAAAAAAGAATAGAAAATGAGTGACCCAGATTATTATTATTGGTATTCAAAAATTTTTTTTGTTAAATATTAATTTTGAATTCTTAAAGGTTTGAAATTAATTAATTTTATATGCATTATATTTATATAGTCCTTCCTACTCACCAATATTTGGTGCCTTGGGTTGTACTTCTGCTATAGTATTCACTTGTAAGTTATATATATATTATAGTTTATAGTTTACTATAGTTTATAAAAAGAAACATATGAAATATTATAAAGAAATCTTTTTTTCTCACTTCCATTTATCATTAAAATAATTTACATTAATAATCCATTTTTATCAATACATATATTATAAAATACATAGGTTTTGGAGCCGCTTATGGCACAGCCAAGTCTGGAGTAGGAATATCTACGATGGGTGTTTTACATCCTGAATTAGTTATGAAATCCATTGTTCCTATTATTATGGCTGGTATTATTGGTATTTACGGCTTGGTAGTTTCGGTTTTGATTTCTGATAATCGTAAGCAATCTAATCAACATGTGAATTATTATCTTTCGGAGGAAAGAATTAAACATTTATTTCTAATTACTTTTTCTTTATTTTAAATAAAATCCATGTAATACGTTAGTCAAAGCGAAAATGCCTTTATACACGTAAGTTTCAAAAAAAGAATTTATTCAATTCATATTAAAAATCATTCATTATCTCATATAATAATAATAATAATAATGTTATTGTTGTTGTATAGTGGATTCATTCAACTTGGTGCAGGTTTAAGTGTTGGTCTTTCAGGTCTTGCAGCAGGATTTGCAATTGGTGTTGTTGGAGATGCTGGCGTGCGTGCATCTGGACAACAACCAAGATTATTCGTAGGAATGGTAATTATGATTATTATTCATTCATATAAAAAAATTATTACAAATTAAATTTTATTTATTTATTTATCATCTTTTCTTTAATTCTTTATTTTTGCTATTCATTATTATTTCATCAAAGATTCTTATTCTTATTTTTGCTGAAGTATTGGGTCTTTACGGATTAATCGTTGGATTAATCTTGAATACCAAAGCTACTACTAGCGATGTTGCTTGTGGATAAATCATGTTCATTTGTTTTGGAGAGAATGAGTAAGAGAGATTGATTAAAATAGTTATGTTGTTATTTAAAGTCATAATAATCAAAAAAAAACTTTATAATAATTTTTTCCCTTGTATTTTTTATTTTTTGTTTTTGTAAAATTGGGATATGTGAATAAATAAATATTTATATATAACATTAAAATTATGATTAGTGTTGTTTTTATATGTACTTTCTTACAATATGTTTTCTTTAAATCTATTTATTATTATTAAAGGGTGATGTATTATTCAGGCACACAATATCTCATATGCAGAGGGATTTTTCAAATTTCCTCAGAAAAATATTTCTCTTTTTTCTTTCAAAAATTTAAATATATATTTTGATTTCAATTAGAGAAATTAGAGAGAACTAATTATTTACAACATTGATGCTCTCACATATAAGTTTTGTTGTCATAACTTTTATTAATTCAGAGCGCTTTTGACAAAGAACTATAATTTCTTTACGAAATTCTTTTTGATGAATAAATTTTTCGAAATCAAACTACCATTTTATAGCTCTTGATGTGGTCAAGAGACCTCGATTGGTGCGTGCAGATAATTTCTAAATTTGTAGAAATCTCATTCTAGTTCAGGTTAATATATATAAGTCGATTGTTTGAAAATCATATCCAACTATATTAATTATAAAAATGAAGACATCATCAAGAAAAAAAATGGCAGATGGATTTAAAAAACAAATAGAAAATGATGGCAATGAAAACAATATATATTAAATAAAAACAAAAAAGGCTTTATATAATTTCTTTTGTTATCTTTATTTAATTTAATATAGGAAGCTATCTTTAAAAATGTCGTCTTTCTTCTTCCTCAGCTTATTACAATCTTCCACATAATGTCCGATCCAAGGCATTTGAAGCACTTATTTAAATAGTACAACTTAACATTCGGACATCCTGAATGGTAGTGGCTAGAGCATTTGTAGAAAAAACACTTGCTGGTCGTTCTGCTCATGCTGTCATGCTTGGTCATCATGCTTGGTTGTGCTTGGCCTGGTCTTGGTCTTGCTGGTTGTGCTTGGTCATTAATGTTTAGTTGTGCTTGATCTGGTCATGCTTGTCGTGCTGGTTGCGCTTGGTCTGGTCATGCCTGGTCATCATGTTCGTTGTGCTTGGTCTGGTCATGGGTACATCTCTCATGAAAATGCAAAATGTTCACGCTACAGCGATGTATAAACCAGACACTTTCTTCCTACACCAGTAGCGCAGGGTATAGCATATAAAGTTGTAAGCAAAGTTTGCATGTCATGGCGTACATAAGACTGAACGCTTTTCATCTACATAATAGTAGCATAGGGTTAGAATATTCACTATCATGAAAAATATTACTGACCTTTAAATCACACTGGATCGCTAATGCCTTTTCGTTTGCTCTTGTGCCAGGTTTTAGATCCTGAATCAAATTTTTAATTCGGCACTCAAGGTATTATGTGACATGTGTCTTGTTGCAGATGGGCTTGCTGGTCGTACACGTTTATTTTTATTATTTGGGTAGTGTTGTAAAAAAGAAATTCAGATTGATTTGATTAAGATTATCTGATCTGCCGTTGATCAAAATTTATTTTATATATATATATACTATTAATTGGTGATACGTGAATGAATCAAAGATCTGCTATTAATTGGTGATATATATATATACGTGAAATCAAAGATCTGCATTTTTACTTTGCATTATTTCTTCTTGTGCCACAGGATGGAAACACAGATTTGAGGGTCTCTCTGATTCATTCACGGATTGGCAATTAAAAATAAATCTTATCAAATTTTAAATTTTTCTAAAAAAAAAAACATGTTTTTTTGCAGATAAAGGTTCTTAACTGTAATCCTATCTCCTATTTGAATATTTGTAATTGTTACAAATGTTTGAAATGATTATGAATATTTAAGAATATCCAAAATAGTGTTCCATGTTGCAATCCAAAAAAGGAAACAAAATGGTTGTAAAGGTGGTTGCAACCATTATCAAAAGTTCAAATATCCATTTCAAAGGATTTTCAAGGTTGTATATACAAATTAAATATTTAAAAATTTTTTTTTGAATTTTTGAGGATAAATTTCAGGGCTGGTAAAGCTGACTAAACTTGACTTAATATTAACATAATGACTGAATAGTTTAGTCAGTTTAACCAAATGCTATGTGACCAGCCCTGATAAATTTATTTATTAATCTTAATCAAATCAAATCATTCTTAATCTAATCAGATTTTAATTTCTGAGGACACATTAAGTCTTGTTAAAGTTAATAAGTAAATTTATTAAGGTTAAAATCATCAATCATGATTGGCCAATATTTTTGATATGAACATTTTTGTAAGAAACATTTATTTTAAAACTAAAAAAAAAAAATTTTTTTATTATTATGAGATAACAATTCTTGATTGAATATCACATATAAAAGATTCTTCCGGTCTTTTTACATCAAAAATTTCTAACAAAGATGGAACTTGATTTTGTGAAAAACAATCCTACAAATCATTAACTGATTCTTCTGATTCTTTGTAAGAAACATCTATGCCATTGATTTCTAAGCTGTCCAAATCTTCATAATTTTCTTGGTTGTTGTTAATATTTTCAACCTGATTTTTGATGAAATTATCTTTTTTATCAATTTTAAATTTTTGACTTTATTCTTTTCTTTAATGTTCCAAGCAATTTGTGCCAAATTTGAAGTTTTTTCAGCAGACAGCTTATTCCTTCTTTTGATGTGAATATTACTCATTAAAGGCTCTTTCTGATATGGCTGAATGTGGGGGTTAAAGTTGGTGTCTGTAATTGTTTTCACATTTCTGCAACTGCGATTTTAAAACTCGAGTTGCAAACCTTTCTGCAACCCCTGCAACCCCTGCAACTGTCTGCAACCCCTGCAACTGTCTGCAATCTCTGAAACTGCCTGAAACTGTCTAACTATAATTATGATGACTTAGTTAAAGATGGCTCTGCAACTAGGAGGTTGCAACTCAGGAGGTTGCAATCCCCAAAAATATTGACATCTAATGCTGCAACTGCTGTAATTCTGTCTGTAATTGTCTGCAACCTCTAGTTGGTCAGCTACTTCAATCACTATAAAACTAAATTTATTTTTATGTTTAATGGTAAAAATAATGGCAATGGTAATAATAAAAGATAATAAGAATGTTTTTTTATTTAGAAATAATCAATAATAGTCATCAGGAAATTTTCCCATTGTAATATTACATCCATAAATTTTAATATGTAAAGTTGTAATATTTGCATAAAAAATTATGTAATATTTACACCCAATGTAATAATTGCATAATTTTTGTATGCTTATTTGCATAATATTACGGCCCACCATAAACTTAATAATTATGTAAATCCACATCAGAAAAAATTCCTGATGGTGGTAGTAATGATTTTATTTAAAACCAAATAAATCCCATTTTTGCAGTTATGTGATTCCATTTTTGATACTAAATTATCATAATTATAGTTACAGACAGTTTCAGACAGTTTCAGTGGTTGTAGAGGTTGCAAAAAAGGTTGCAACTCGAGTTTTAAAATCTGCAGTTGCAGAAAATGTGAAAACAGTTACAGACACCAACTTTAGTTAACATATATATTAATTCTAAAGAAAATTTAAAAAAAATCTCACCAAATAGTTGGATAATTTAGAACCTCTCTTGGCACTTGTATTTATTGAACAGGTGATGGAGTATTGATGCTGGATCATCTTTATTTACAACTTGAAAATCTTCGAATTCTTCAAATGAAAAACTTTGCAATTCACAAATTTCTTTGTAACATTGGCACATTGATATGTGCATTTTGCTGTCAAGTCAAAACTATCATTCATTCTCAAATTTGTTTGTTCAAAACATTATCCTACCTATTAATATTAACCCATTTTTCAATTGCTTCTCTCATTTTTTTTCCAGGATTCGATTTTCATTGGCAAAATTTTTTATCATGGAGGTGACAACACCTTTTCCTTCATCAAATAATTCGTAGATCTCCACCACCATTTCACTAAAGATAATTTGGATCCAATTCAATCTTTTTATTAAATAATTGCTTGAAATCCTTCCATAAAGTTTCAATATCTTTCGGGTATTGCTTTTCACCAACTGGTTTACTCGGTCTATATTTCTCCAAGGCTCTATTTCATTATCAATTCTTTGATTTATATAACAGAGCTGGTTGTAATTTTTATATCGGGAAAAAGACCGAGCCATATAGATAAATCAACTAAAGGAACACCTTCATCGCAAGATTATTGGGAGGAGTAGCACTAATGAATCATTGGATTTTCTTAAGGCTAAAAAAGTTACATTTGATAACTTTGGAATGAAAAAATCACATTCAGCAGTTAGAGATGCAACAATTCTTTTAATTTTTGTTTTATTAACACGTTCTTTTTTACGTAGTATTTAATTCGTTAAGGAAAGAATTTAATTAATGCCGACCCGGGCAAATTAAATTCATATATGGTATTATAACGCTATAAAGTTCAAAATTTTCATGAATGCTAAACTGCGAGATAAAAAATAGTTTATCCCACATGCTAGATTATCATTATTAATTATGAGCGACAAAACCGGGAATTGATTCCCGATTAAATTAGTAGAAATTATTATTATATGGGAAAAATTTGTTACTGTTAACAATTTCCCCAACATCAATATTGATGATTCAAGTGATAATATCCATGAAAAAAAAAATTTTATTAGTATTAGAATATAAAACCTTTCCAAAATTGGGACTTTAGCGCAGTCATTGGCGAAACTATATAGACATATTCTATCAATTTACCGAGTTAAATTTTTAAAATATAAAATAGTTCTCGAGTGCATACTTTTAAAATTTACACAAATTTAGGAGGTCTCTAGAACAAACTATGTTGTTTGTTAATTCGGTAACGTGATTAATTACTATCCAATCATTTGATTGATTTTTTTGGTTTAAATCCGTTTCACTTTTAAATTTTGTAACTAATGAATGATTATTACTTGTACCAGGTTAGATCCATTGAATGTTGGTTATTAAAAGAATATTCATTTAGGTCTAAAAACAAACATTGTGCGATCTTGCTTTAATAATTTGATTACCACTTTCTTTTATAGTAACATCATCATCCTTTGATGAACGCCTATGCCTCCTACTACTACTACTACTAACATATGAATCATCATGACTTTTACTACGACTTTTATGTCTATGTCTATGACTTCTGCTACTGCTACGTCTTCTACTATTATTAGATTTATGTTTTCTTCCTTCTTCTTTACTACCGCGATCTCTAATATCATTAACATTGTCATTATTGATATCATCGTCATCAACACGTTCTTTTTTTACACGGTCATCTCTACTACTTCTCTCTCTACTTTTACTACTCCTACGATGATGATAAGATCTTCTACGGTGCCTACTATCATCCTCATCTTCTCTACCACGACTAACACTTCTATGTGAATTACGACGATGTCTTTCCTCACCACCACCTCCTCTGCTTTTACTGTGATGGCGATTTTTATGTTCACGGTCCTATACATGAAATATAGACAATTAAAATACAAATAGACAAAAGGAAAAAACAATAGTGTAAATAAATATATTTTTATTTTTACTAACTCTTCTTTCGCGGTCTTCTCTACGATCTTTCTCCTCTCTACTAACGCGATCTTTTTCATGTCTAATACTTCCGCCACTAATATTATTATTAGTAGTAGTATTAGTAGCAGAAGTCATAGACATAGACATAAAAGTCGTAGTAAAAGTCATGATGATTCATATGTTAGTAGTAGTAGTATTAGTAGTAATAGCAACACGATCTCTTTCATCTCTACGATCTCTTTCATCTCGACGTTCCCTTTCATCTCTGCGATCTCTTTCATCTCTACGTTCTCTATCTCTTAACTCTCTTAATCTTAATCTTTCCTCCACATCTTTTTCTCTTCTTTTCCGTATTTCAGATAAAATTCGTTCGTCTTCTTCCTATAAATTATATATAATTATTTTTAAATATTTTTTTTATTAATTATTAAATAAACAATAATTAACAACCTTTATTTTACGTAATTCTTCCATTTTTTGTTCAAGAAATATTGGTGGGATACCACTAACAC